GTTGTGGGTTGAGGTTGAGGTTGAGGTTAGGGTTAGGATTAGGCTTTGGAGTGAGGTTAAGGTTAGGTTTAGGATTAGGTTTTAGGGTGAATTTGCTAAATTTCACAAATTAGAAAAAATGAAACATAACGTGGCCTGTGCAAAAGTTATGGCACATTTTATATATGTTCTATTTTTTTCCAATACGTTAAATTTATTACGTAAATAGAAATTGTGCAGTAACATTTGCAGAAAAATGTCATGTTTAAGGATGTGGTTAAAGTGGGTGTGTCAACTTATTTTCATTTATTTTCAACTATAAACTACAGACAACAAACATGACTTGGATGACGAACTTGTGGTTTTCGGAGGAAAAATGTTAGATATGTTTTTTTTTCAAACTATCGCTTTAATGTAAGTGCACTCAGACTCTGTAGGTCACGTTATCTCCGGCCTCGCTCCCTTTTCGAAACCCACGAGGAGGAAAAAAGGGCCGAGAGAAAAGAGGAGGAGAGACGCTGTGGAATAAAAGGATCACATAAAGCTGAGTGAATGCAGGCTGAAAGGCCTTGTGGTGGCTTTTTAACGGATAGTTCCATTCAGACTCAAACATTAAGGAAGCACATTTGTCTGATGCGCCGGTGTGTGTGTGCGTGTACCTGCGGGCGATAAGCTCCTTTCTTTATTGCCCACCGGAGTGCCAGACTGGGGGGGAGAATCTCTCTCATAAATCAGAAGCTCTAAACGTCAGTCGGTTGCGGATCCTCCGTTTTCTCTCGCTCTGCTGTAGCTTCACTGTAATGATCATTCAATTACGGCCCAGCCAGACGTGTCAGTGCAGCGCAGGACGCCGGCCACATTTATCATCATTCTGCTCTGATGTGCTCAGCCGCACTGTTAGGGCTGCGCGTGTTTGTTTTCCTATATTTTCAGTGCAAAAATATCCTCAACATTTTCTAATCCGTTATCCAAAAGCTGGTAATCAATTATTATTTTAAAGTGTTTATTCAGGTGGTGCTGATTTTGAATTTAACTCATAAAAATGTGAGGGCGTCCAGGAGAAATCTGGAACCAAACTGTTCTTCAAACTAGCTCAGAAGCCCTCTACTGCTTATTACTTTTTAATGTATTTTAATGTATGTTTATGTTTCTTTTAAATATATATGGTGATTCTACAACGAAAAAACTCGTATTGTCAAGATCAGTGACTTTAATAATGTGCTTTGGTGTCTAAGACTTTAGCACAGTACATATGGGACAGGTTAATAGATGAACTTTGATATATATGGAATGAACATACATGAATATCAATGTTCATTGTGTGTGTGTATATATATATATATATATATATATATATATATATATATATAATGCACATCTGATTCAACTCATTAACTAATTAATAACCCACTTGTGGCTTGGGTCCAGTGGGTCAGGAGGAGATTGGGAACCCTTGGCAAATAATACATATGAGACACATAATAATTAAATATAGGTATTGCATTTTTTATTACTTTATCATTTTAAGATTTTTACTTTTTAGTAATATTTTCTATTGTTTTGTTTTTTACTGAGTACTACTCGGTACTTTTATTTATTTATTTTTATTACAAATGTGTATATATATATATATATATTTATATATTTTTGCTGTTATATAGTTTTAATTTTTGTCCTAATTCGTCTTATTTGTCTTAAAGTTTCCTATCATTTTATTTTCATCTGCTGTTTTAATAATAATTGCTTGGTCGTATTTAATTTTTTTATTTTCCTTCCTACACTTTTGCTATCACAAATGCATATTTACTCTTTTCAGTCCCTTCTTTTTTGCATAATGCTCGGCTACACTGTAAATGAGGCTTAGTGTTCCCCCCGAGTTTCAATAAAGATTGATCGATTGAATGTATATATAATACATGTAGGGCATATTATTATTACATCTGTATTCTCATATATGCTTGTTCTAACCCCTTAAATATCCTCCAGGATCTGCAGGTTTCCATTCCTCATTGCTGTAATTTAAAAATTACTCTTGTTTTCCATATATTTTCTGAATAATCCACCCGACGATGTAATAAGCCTGATAAGCTGATGGGTTAAAGGTCCAGTTTCCAACTGGATGATGGGAAGTTTCTGATAACTGGATTATACTGCACTGTACAGTTGAACACTTTAGTGCAGTAGGAAAAAAGAGCAGATTCATTCAGAATCAAAGTGCTCAGCACTTTTTATGTGAGGTCCTCTGAGGTAACGTTCGCTCCCTCTCAGCCAGCAAATGGCCAATCAATACCGGATCTCCATCAGATAATAGCAGTGGAGCTGCTCGCTAGTAAAAACAATTCAGAGACCTTCACACAGAGGAAGGCTTAAAGGATTATTTCTCCAATAAATGCTCATTATAGTAACATTCAATAAGAATTAAAGGAGCCCCGTTAGTATGATCCCGTCTGTGTGATGCTGTCCGGCGCCTCCTAGCCTTCAATCATTATTAGCACTTCATGCATTTAATTCTTAGTGTTTTATGGTGCATTGATGAATGGCTAATGATGAAATAAAGCCACATACACTAAGAGATCTGTACAGACCATTCAGAGAAGGCCTAATGATTTCTGTCAAATCACAAAAATGCACATTTGTATTAAATAGAATAATCAAGCTGGTTGTATGTATTGTTGTAATACTCTTATTTCATCGTTAAATCTTGTTTGGAAATGAGAGAGTTGCATTCTTATAACAGTCAACAGAAAATGATCCAATCAGGATTGTTCTCTCTGTGGTATCTGGGTAGATACAGCTGAGCTGCTCTCCCATTGGTTAGGACTGCAGCAGCTGGACTGAAGGCCTCACACGTTAGACTAACTACCAACATATTTAGGCAGGTGATAGAGAAACCAAACAATCATACTTTGACTTACAGTGAGTGGAACTATGAGAGAAAACATCACTGTAGTCCTGTAGGTTCTAGATACGTCAGTGTATGGAAGCAGTAGTCTAAGTAGGTTCTGGTTAGTTGTTAGGAATGTAAAACAGTGGTGGCAGCTCTATGTCAGAACTCTTTACTGAAAGAGTCACTGTAAAATTAATATAACATGAATTGCTGTTAGACTAGTACTCACATACTATAAGACTTCCCATAGGGGCGCTAGCAGAAATTGGCTTTATCATAGAGAGACATTTAGGTTCTCAATAGGAAGCCTAACTCTAATCATCACTGTTCACTACAGGATAAAATGCATTATTATTATTATTATTATTATTATTATTATTATTATTATTATCAGTAGTAGTACACACTTCAAAAAGATGTTTCTTTAAGGGTTCTTTAGTGAAGAAAAGGGTTAAATGAGGAACCATCAACATTCAAAGAACCTTTTGCATGATTAAAGGGTTCTCGGGGAGAATATGTTGTATATGGTTCTATATACCTCTTGTTACAATGTCAGGCTTGCAACAACAGCAGAACCCTTTTTGGTGCTATATAAAATGCTTTTCAAAAAAGGTTCTATATAGAACCATCTACAACACATATTCCATCAATCTGAAGAACACTTTCACGATGCAAAGAGCCCTTTAATCATGCAGAGGGATCTTTGAGTGTTCATGGTTCTACATACAACTATTTTCTTTACTAAAGAACCCTTTAAGAACCATCTTTTTTAAGAATGTAGGGGCAATAATTTTCACTCCACACTGATTTGTGGTGGTCTAGGTGATCTAAATATGGAGAACAGTGTCAAATCAGATCAGTTCCTGTACTGTATATGATACTAAATTAGCATGAGAGCATTTAATACTAAAGGTCGTATGCAAAGATATGAACATCCATGTTAAAATGACAGGTTTTGTGAAGTGAAGAAGTTAACACATCCTCTACAGAGAGCAAACTTACAGGGGAATTTACCAGTTTTCTAAATTCCTCCATAATTGAGTGTGTGAGGTGTAAACAGAGTGAATCAGAGAGGTTTGGTGTGAAATGGTTCAGATGTCTTTACAGTGGTGGTGATAGGAACCAGGGGTCGCCATGACTACAACACAAATATAGACATTTTATTTACTATCCAGAACCACCAGTGAACCTACACGAGTCTTCTGAGTTTATATGGAATGTTGATGATGGAAAATAGTGGAAAATCTGAAATAATAAGTTTTCTTTGGGGACTATTTTGCCTCACAGCGCCCTGCATGTATCCCTCCACCATGAATGGAGTTTAAGTTCTCTAAACTATCATAAAACAGTGTCTCAGTCATCAGGCAGTGAATTCATAACCATTTCATGTAGTAACTTTCTGTGAGGGAGCTTTTAGAGGTGGACGTCTGGTTCCTATCATCACCACTGTGAACTGTGAATTCTGACTCGGTAAGTTTCTCTAGAACAGAGAGTTTCACACCAAACCACTCTGAACGACTCTGTTTACAACTTAACCACTTAATTATACAGAAATTTTGAATAATTAGTGGAATTCCCTTGTAAATATGACCTTTTGTTCCAAATTATGTGCACAATTTCTGTGTATTTGCTGAGTTTAACATGTTGGGGAAAATATATAATAATAAATTCTGAAACTTTTGCACAGGCCACATTTGAACTTTTCCCCAGTATATTAAATTCAGCAAATATCATTAATTTATTAAAATGTGCAGATGTGTGTTCTCTGCAGAGGACGTGGTAGCTTATTTTCATAAAATCGACAGTACATGTAATTTGACCAGGTGCCCACAAACTTTTGCATATAACTATATATCTGAAATAAGACAAAAATTTGTGCTTCTCCATTAATAACATGATTTCTTAGTGCTTCTTGTTGCGTTTATGTATGATATTTAAAGCACATGATCTAACAAAGCTGAAAATGTGTCGTTTTTTATTTTGTTTGTGCCACAAACTGCTTTTCTGAGTGAGAAAATCAACATTTTCCGGCAGCCAGGGTGCTGAATTTTAGATAACAACATCAAATCATTGTGTTTACAGTGTAGAACACTGCAATATGAACATCATGTTCCTCTTTGTTTCTCTCTGACAGAGACGTGTGAGCGGCCTCATAGACCCTTCCACACAATCTCAGGAGACGGAGGGATAAAATGGACAGATGGACGGACGGATGGATGGATGGATGGAGGAGGGAGGGATTTATGAACCCGTGCTGCTAGCTGAACCTGTGTCCACTCCTGTGCTAGAAGAGGACGACGCAGCTTCTCTTGACCTTTTCCCTTTTCCTCTCCGAGGCTCCAGAGGACTCTCGAAGTGTTCGAGCACTTTTGGGCCTGTGGGTTACCATGGAGTTTAAACCGTACACATACAGCACTGTGCAGAAGTCGAGTCGTTTATTCAATTTACAGTCAAAACAGAAAATTCCACCAAACAGAGTCGTTCAGAGTGGTTTGGTGTGAAACGCTCTGTTCTAGATAAACCTACCGAGTCAGAACTGTTCACAGTGGTGGTGATAGGAACCAGACGTCCACCTCTAAAAGCTCCCTCACAGAAAGTTCCTACATGAGATGGTTATGAATTCACTGCCTGATGACTGAGACACTGTTTTATGATAGTTTAGAGAACTTAAACTCCATTCATGGTGGAGGGATACATGCAGGGCGCTGTGAGGCAAAATAGTCCCCAAAGAAAACTTATTATTTCAGATTTTCCACTATTTTCCATCATCAACATTCCATATAAACTCAGAAGACTCGTGTAGGTTCACTGGTGGTTCTGGATAGTAAATAAAATGTCTATATTTGTGTTGTAGTCATGGCAACCCCTGGTTCCTATCACTACCACTGTAAAGACATCTGAACCATTTCACACCAAACCACTCAGAATCTCTCTGACTACATCTCAAACACTCAGTTATTATGCAGAAATGTTTAAAAATTGGTGGAATTCCCGTTTAATTAGAAGTTATTCATTTTTCCCTGTCAGAATGCATATAGACTCAGCAAAAGATTTTAGGCCAAAATCTTCTCGAAACTGTTGTAAATAATGTCTCAGTCATCAGGCAGTGAATTCATAACCATTTCATGTAGGAACTTTCTGTGAGGGAGCTTTTAGAGGTGGACGTCTGGTTCCTATCACCACCACTGTGAACAGTTCTGACTCTAGAACAGAGCGTTTCACACCAAACCACTATGAACGACTTCATCTTAACTGTTTAATTATGCAGAAATACTGAAAAATCTGTTATTCCTAACTCTCAAATGAATAACTTGGATTTAATGACCATTTTGATTTGACATTAAATAAATGAAGGGTGGACTTTTGCACAGCACTGTACATACACTTGCACAATCCATGGACGCTGGAATCCACCTGAAGCGAAGTCTGTATGGAGTTTCTAACAGCACTCCTTTCCTGAAATCATGCTTTTCCTTCTCTTTATGACTCATTGACTTGACATGATTCTTCCAGGAATGAAACCAGAGCTTTTGTTTTGTTTGTTTGAAGCTGTAACGTCCCTGCTGGGTAAGATCATCTCTTTCACACGTTTCTGTAGATACGTTCACCTCCACATGCGCATCATCTCACATTCCCACACCTACATATGCCCTTTAAAAGGCTTCTGGAAATAGATAGCAGTCTTTCGTAGCCACTCTGACGTTTGTAGATTTTATGTTTTGTTTTTGTTTTTGTTTTTTTTCCTATTTGTGTACAACTCATAGCAATAGAAATAAAAGCTGTTGTTGACACAAATCAAAAGAGAAATCCCCAAAATCTCAAATTAACCAACTTATAGATGGCCAGATGTACACAGGAACACAGGCGCAGCGCAAAGCGTGTCTGAAATTAAAGTTCAGTTTATTTATGCTGTGTTTGGTGTTGGAAACTGGGAAATATCAGTTTTCCTGTGTAAATTACACTCGACAGATGAAGAAGTCGTATTTACAAGAGGGAAACTCAGGCTTGTACAGTTCCAAAAAAGTTGGGACAGCAGGTAAAAATGTAAATAAAACTCTCTTTTACAGGTATTTAATTGAAAACAACACAAAGAGCTATTTAATATTTTACCTTATCAACATTATTGAGTTTTGTAAATATGCACCAATTCCTAATTTGATGCCTGCAACACAGCTAAACAGGTGAGTAGGTAAAAAGGGTATGAAAGGAACGTTCACGAAAGGCTCATTCGCCGCTTTGCGAAAAACTGCATGAGCAAATTATCCAACGGTTTAACAGCAAACGTTTTTTTCTCAAGGCAGGATTGCAAAGAATCTAGGGATTCTTCTTCTGCAGTGCATAAAATTATTAAGAGATTCAGAGAATCTGAGAGGTCATAAAGGGCAAGGCCAAAAAAACAGTATTGAATGCCCATGAACTTCGACCCCTCAGACACTAGGCTGCGCCGCAGTAAAAACTGACATGCTTCTGTAATTAATATCATCACATTGGCTCTGGAACACTGCAGACAAGTCTTGCCAGTAACCACAGTTTTTTTGCTGCATGTACAGCTGCAAACTTAGACTCTACGACACAAAGCAGAAGCTAAATAATCACAATGTCCAAAAACGCCGCCGACTTTTCTGGGCTGAGGCTTATTTGAAATGAACTGGTGGAAATGTGTATTGTGGTCTGACAAGTCCTTTCAGATTGTTTCTGGAAATAATGGACCTTTCATTTCGCTACACCAAAGAAGAAAAGGACCATCCAGATTGTTTCCAGGATAAAGTTCAAAACCCAGCGTCTGTCATGGTGTTGAGGGGGTATTAGTGGATACTGATTAGGTAGGTAACCTGCACATCTTCCGTGAAGGGGGTTCATACGCATTATGTAGCAGCATATGCTGCCATCTAGATGACGTCTTTTTCAGGGACGTCCCTGCTTGTCTCAGTAAAGCCTCGGGTTCACTACATGACTTTTAAAGTCTTAACAGATTATTAAAGTCTGGACTTTTTTTGCAGTTTTTTGGGGTGACTGAAATATTGGGGATCACACACTAAATGATTAGGGATCACATACTACTCAGTTTTTCAGCTACTGCTGAACCAAACGGAGCTCACTGAACTCGTGTGAACTCGTGTTCTCCTGTTACTAGGAGACCCTGCTGTTCTCTCTGCCGTTTGCGGCGACTCAGTACAGAAGCAGCAGGTAAACATGTTTAAGTGGATCATGGATTTTAAAAAAGCATGATCAGTTGGTATTTTTTAGAGTTTTAAATGTACATAAACTCGACTGTGCCTTAAACTCTTTTAAAAGACTTTTTACCATTTTTCTTTGTTCACTTGCTGTATTTTCTTCTTTCATGCTCTCAGTTTTCAGTGGCTGTTGGAGGAGTCGTTGACCAGTTTACACTAGTTTACACTCAGAGTCGGGTCGAAAAAATGTTTGAGAAACTCCGACTGGTCTGAAACGTGATCAATGAGGCAGTAAATCTGAGTCTCTGCCCCTCACACACGACTGTCGACTCTGACTGACCTAAAAATCTGCAGACTAGAGCTGACGAGCTCAGACTCAGCCAGACTGAGAGTCGGGGCTAAAATCAGGGTAAAAGCCATGCAGTGTAACCCCGGTTTAAGACAATGCCAAGCCACATCCTGCACATTACAACAGCCTGGCTTCATAGTAAGAGACTCCAGTTGCTAGACTGACCTTCCTGCAGTCCACACCTGACCTTACTTGAAAACGTGTAGCGCATTATGAAGCCCATTATACAGTAAAGGAGACCCCAGACTGTTGAGCAGCTGAAGTGTTCTATCAAGCAAGAATGAGGAAAAAATTCCATTTTCACAACTACAACAATCAGCGTCCTCAGTTCTTAAACCATTACTGACCATTGTTAAAAACAAAGGGGATGTAACACAGCGGAAAACACCCCCCTCCCCCCTCCCAACTTTATTGGAACATGTTGCAGCCATCAAATTTAGAATAAGCATATATATGCAAAAACAGTAACGTTCATTAGGTGAAACATTAAATATCTCGTCTTTGTGCTGTTTTAAGTTGAACACAGGTCAAAAATGATGTGAAAATCATTACTGTCTGTCTTCATTTACATTTTACCTTCTGTCCCAACTTTTTGGGATTGGATTTGTGGATCAGGAGCTCTCAACCTCACTCACTGTTCACACAACTGACTGGAAAAGCTTTTGCAGCCCACAAGAGGATTTAAACTGCCTGATCACTTCAAATGCAAACATAACACAATAATCAATGTAGCCTATCAAATTTCACTTTACTGTATAACCACACAACTTAATAAACACCTAAAAATTTCTATTTGTAGCCATTTATTCAGTAAGGGATGAAATCCAAATGATCAAAAAGAGAAATGTTGCACATTGACTTGCTCTGAAAATATAAGTATATCCAGCTGTCTGTGTTGGTTATGCATTTTTCCAGATGTATCTCTGAGCTCATCTTTAATATGTAGGTATTATATATATATGTATATTATATACAGAATATATATATATATATATATACACACATTAAAATGACTGCCAACGGCCACCTACCAGGACCCCGACGGCCCTTTGTGGGGGCCCACAGGTGTAAAACCACTGTTCTAGATAATACACTAGATGATAGGTTCATGAGATGTGACACATAACACAACTTTTTGTTGTGTTGAAGGGGAAACATTAAACATGCCTGATGTGTTTCTATATGATTCCAGTGAACAGGTGTTTTCTCCTGTGGAGTCGTATTCATTAGTTAACCACCTGGTATGTACAACCTTCCAATAAGCACCTGAACGCAGCGTAACAGCGAAGTCAGACTAGCATTTAGCAGCGAATTTTGTGAGCAACATGACCTTCTTTTCAGTGGAAGTCGCCACGATGAGCGGTTTTGCGTCACAGGCTTTTAAGGCGAATACATTTTGAGTACAAAAAAATTTAGCATATATACAGTATGTATATTCGTATGCAAAAGTTTGAACACCCCCAGTCAAATTACAAGTTTTATTGATTTTTTTAAGTGAAAGAAGTTTCACACATAAATACTGCATCAAGATTTTTCATAAATTTTAATGCACAATTTCTTTGGAAACGTATTGGAAGAAAATCCAACATAAAATATAAAATGTGCCATAACTTTTTCACGCAAAACATTTTTGTTTTATTTTTCCCAACATGTTAAATTCAGCAAATAACCAGTAATTGTGCATTCAAATGTGCAGAAGTGTGTTCTCTGTAAAGGATGTGTTAACCTATTATAATCTCAGTCTTATTACATACTAAGGCTTATTATTCAGTAACTACAGGGACTTCAATGCAAACTGGCTCAGCTATTCTTAGTTTATAGAAGTGTGTAATAAAGCTTTGGGCCTGCCCGTGCTCCCTGGCCATTTAAGGGGTTAACATATTTACACTTAGAAAATTAACAGCAACATGAAATTGAAACAGGGGTGCACAAACTTTTG